GTTGCACGCGGAGATTGAGTGCTTGATGTACATTTTGATAAACTTTATGAAGAATTAGATGTACAACACTTTCTGAGATAAAAATCACGGAAAAACATGCAGGCAGTGGATAATCCGAAAATTTAATTAATTAGGCTTCAATATTTGTAATGTAATAAATAGTCAGCGATTAAAGACAATATCGTCTTGTGTATGCAATGAATTCTCCTCCGACTTCACTTGCGTTGCTAGGTACTTTTTTTATAGCCAGGACGACCTTCGGTTGCACGGATTTTTGTACTATAGTCGAACTATCTGCATGCGAATGACATTAGTTCAATCAGTGGTCGTGACCAGCTGTACAACACTTTCCGAGATAAAAAATGACGGAAAAAGACACGGGTAGTGGATAATCCGAGAATTTAATTAGGATTCGATATTTGTAATAAATAGTCAGCGATTAAAGACAACATCGTCTTATGTATGCAATGAATTCTCCTCTGACTTTTGAGAAAGCTAAGTCACAGGACGTAAAAATGACCTGGTTTGATCGAATTTTTATAACAGGGCATTCCTTGGCAATTACAATGTTTGAGAAGGATTTGAAGCAAAATTATGACAAATTAGTTTGAATATGTTTTTAGTCCATATATAACATTAAATGACCCAGTTTGTACACGGGAATGTATCTTGAAATTAAAATGAATTACAAAACAAATTATTCCGTAGTCCAGTGATGGGATTTTGCCCGTATATTCCGGACTTGTCCGAATCTTTTTTCCAAACGCCCAAAATTGTCTGACCGGGAATATGCCCAATCGGACATCAAGACATGGTGAATAATATTCAAAATTCCGAAATTAATATAGTTTACTGAGTGTATAACTACCACTCAACCAGATTATCGTCGATAATATGCTGGATTGATTAGGTAATTAAGTGATCAACGTATTTATTGTGTTATCTGCCTTGATTGACTTAATCCTTTGTCGCACAATTCATCAATCTAATCTTAAACAGAAGCCATTGTTTCCCCTTTGTCGGACTATTCATCCATCCATTATAATTTTAATCTTCGTGTTAACCTTGTGGTTTCTGCATTGTCGGACATTTTAATCGCATTGATGTGAGCCGACAATATATATAAACTAGTCATAAAAGTCAAATATTGTAAGAGTATATAACGCCCAGATCAATAGACAGTCATTATAATTCGTCTGCGATATCACTTCGGTGGAAGCGAGCGTTGAATAAAGCTATTTCACACACACATATATCCGAAAAATAGACATTTCTAGCATGCGGGGAAACCTCGGCAGATTCCGTTACTCTACATCTAGCTTCGGCTGCATGACGGTAAGTGATATGTACCTACGAACTTGCCGGTTTTAGAAAGAAGTTATCAAAATTGCATCGTTCGAAGCGTGTTTAGAATTTTCAGAGCAAAGTTGTCCTTGTTTGAAGAAAATCTGATTAGGTACATATCACTTACAGCTGAGGCTAGATGTAGAGTAACGGAATCTGCCGAGGTTTGCCGAGTGCTATACCGGTATTAGAAATCTCGCGAGGCGTGTGAAATTATGAAATGAATATGTGACTAAATTCACACTTCTAATGTCGAAGAAAAGATTCTATTTTGATGGCATATTCTTGGATTTACGATCATATTTTGAATGGGGTTTATGTTTTTAAATAAAGAAATAAGTAATCTAGGCAATGTTGGCGAATATGTCGATTGAAATAGTGTAAATACTTAATTGTTTTAGACGATAGCGCATGCTAGAGTAGAATGCGATTATTTAGCGGATGGTGTCATTCCTCGGGATATCATATTCTTACCCTCTGTACAGAAGTCGTAACAGAGTATCAGACGAATGCTGGACTTCTGCTGAAAAATGTAGAGACTTATGACCCGAAAATACGGTAATTTTGGAGGAACGCTTTCATTCTATCGTATTACGAATTTTGTAGGAATATTACTGACATAAATTTGAATACCGTACGGGAATTAAATATGAAAACTAACGAGGTGCTCCTATTTTTATATTACGGACGAATTTGAATATTTTGTTAATACGTGATTTTTGTGTGTGGTCTAAAAACTGCCATCTTAAATAACGATAAGAGTTATGTCCCTTTATTTTCGGTAAAAATGTCTGACAAGAAAAATTTTGAAATCCCATCACTGCCGTAGTCAATTGTTTTATTTATTTAGGCCGATTAAGGAATCGGTCAGAGGTTAATGAATACACACGCCGACTGTATATAGGTAATTAAGGAATAAACATTCCGAATATGCATTCGGTCACTGTGACGTCACCGGCGTCTGAGGGGATTAAGAGCGTTTTCGATAATTGGCACAGTCGGTTTTACGGGAGGTCTATTTTTATAACTTTGACTGAAGATAGCTGAATTAATTGCAATCAGATTGATGTGAACTTGCCAGAAAATGGATATAGTAACCATCTTATGTGCACTTTAAATAATGCATATAAATTTCACAAAGATTGGATGATAACTTTCAGCGTTGGAGTGTTCACACGCCGACTGTATATAGGTAATTAAGGAATAAACATTCCGAATATGCATTCGGTCACTGTGACGTCACCGGCGTCTGAGGGGATTAAGAGCGTTTTCGATAATTGGCACAGTCGGTTTTACGGGAGGTCTATTTTTATAACTTTGACTGAAGATAGCTGAATTAATTGCAATCAGATTGATGTGAACTTGCCAGAAAATGGATATAGTAACCATCTTATGTGCACTTTAAATAATGCATATAAATTTCACAAAGATTGGATGATAACTTTCAGCGTTGGAGTGTTCACACGGTTCAATAAATTGAAAAGAGCCATAATTCTAGACGTAAAAAACGGAAATTGCTGAAATTCAATAGGATTCTTTTTTTTTTACTGACTTAATTGGCACATACTGATTGGCAAATAACTTTAGAGGTTAGAGTGTTCACAAAGTGAAACAAGGGCCATAACTCCAGAAGAAATAAATGGAAATTGCTGAAATTCAATAGGATTCTTCTCTTTACTAATACTAATTGAAATGACGCATATAAATTTCATACAGATCGGCAGATAACTTTTGATGTTAGAGTGTTCCCAAGGTGCAACAAAGTGAAACAAGGGCCATAACTCTCGACGTAATAAACGGAAATTGCTGAAATTCATTAGGCTTCTTTGTTTCACTAATCTAAATCATGCATATAAATTTCATACAGATCGGCAGATAACTTTTGATGTTAGAGTGTTCACATGGTTCAATAAAGTGAAACAAGGGCCATAACTCTAGACGTAATAAACGGAAAGTGCTGAAATTCAATAGGCTTCTTCGTTTCACTAATTTAAAAAAGGCATTTAAATTTCACAAATATCGGATAACTTTTGCTTAAGAGCGTTCACAAGGTTCAATAAAGTGAAACAAGGGCCATAACTCTCTAGACGTAGTAAACGGAAAGTGCTGAAATTTAATAGGATTTTTCGTTTCACTAATTTAAATAATGCATATAAATTTCACAAATATCGGATGATAACTTTTGGCGTAAGGTTCAACATAGTGAAACAAGGGCCATAACTCTAGACATAAAAAAACAGAAATTAAATAGGTTTCTTCGGCTCACTAATGTAAACCACATATATCAATTTCAAAACAATCGGATAATAACTTTTGGAGTTGGAGGGTTCACAAGCAATTGTGGATGACGGACGGGGGCGACGGATTAGTTTAACATAAATATTTTAATGTATACCTTTGGGTTTTTAAATACAAAATAAGTTTGATTATTTAACATATCAGCTATTTCCAGGTGTTTGTTTCTCAAGCCATGAGGTATGGTACCAGTGAACTGTATGTCGTCAACTTTGACCCCATGGCACATCATCAAGGGGCCCTTGAGTGATATAAACAATTTTACTATCCTGTCTATTTTAATATTATTTCATCACATCAAAGTGTTTTGTTTTCTTTTGAGACCTTGTTTAAGGAGTGACGAGGTTAATAAATACTTTAAAACAATTAATTTGTATCTACCGATTTTGGTAAATTTGTATGAATATTGGTAAAATTCTAATTATCGCAACAAATCTAATACGAGGCTAAAATCTGTAGATACGTTGTGTTAATTAACAGGGGTGAGAAATTGACTGAAAGGTGATTTAATTATCGCTAGGGGTAAAAATCTCTGCGACGGTGCGTTTTCTGTACTGGGTGTGTTAATTAACAGACGGGTTAAAAACAACTGACACGGTGTGTATTCTTTGTTTGGTGAGTTTTGTCGATAGCGTGTTATAACTACACCAAAGGTGTCTTATCAAGGACAAGCAGGCTTAATCTGACGTGTGGGTGTTAAAGGGTTAATCCAGATATTTTTTGCAGAATAAAACTGCTTAATTTTGTGTTAAAATCCCTTAAATTCCTCTAGCTAAGGGCCGAGCAACTAACTCAATATTTGTGATACGTTTTCAAACAACTTAAACCCGCCAGTCTTCATCTGGAAATGGAGACGGGTGTCCAGGGATGTCATTTTTCAAGTAACAGGAAATTTTGCTAAAGTAAGGGGCAGCAAATTTAGGGCCAGAGGCCTGAATCTGCGGGCAAACCGAAGGGTGGGGAGTGTGTTATGGTATCGGATTCATGTGGAGAGGGTGATCGAAAGAATGAAAAAATTAAAAATTATAGGATCTCGACTTTCACTTAATTTGAAGCCAGTTGCGTCTCAGATTGTGCATATTATTGGACTTTTGGTTAATTATCAAGAGCCACTTGTAAAATAAAATGTTTGTTGAACATTTTGCATTCCTAGAAAGAAATTTATTGTTTTGATTTTATTACCAATCATATTTCTAAAAATAAAAAAACAACCAAAAAAACAATTCATTTTATGCATTATAACTATAATTTATTATGTACAAGTTCTGAATGTTTGATTATCAAACAAATTAATTTAAATTGAAGATGTAAAATATTGAAGATGTAAAATACAGTACAATCAAATGAATAGTTTTATGCTTTTATTTATCACTGGGCTGATCTAGGCTTAGATTGACTGGTAACAGTCTGCGAGGGATTCTCTGCTCAAAATACTCTGGCACTAATATATTGTGGTGAAAATCGATCAGTTTTGGAAAAAGTGCATTCCAAAATCCAATGTCTCTTTGTATCCTCTCGATACACATTCCCTTTGGAGACCAAATGCTAAAATCACAAAAGTCAACTCCACAGATTGCAATCTGCATTTGAATTTGAAAATAGTATGAATGTGTTCGGTTCAGAACTAATTCCCCATTTTCTATTTTATAACACAGATTGTTTATTTGATTTTTTGATAAGTTTTCTAAATCAGTGGGTCCACTATTTTCTAGCACAAGGGGACACTTTATTTCCAGCACACCCACTAATTTTTTATTACAATCCCAGATTAAGCCATCAGGGCTACAACCTAATTCTGGATATTTTGGGTTTACCCAAAAACCACTCTTGGTCAGAGCATGTCCAGGTGTTAAACTTCCCTCTTGGAAATTTTTAAATGCGTGGTCCTCATTGTCCCGTCCATATTTTAGCGCTTTGAGGTCCAGCACTTTTTTACTCCAAAGAAGTCGCTTCAGTAAATTATACTGTCCTTGCTTGGACTTAGTTGTCGTGACAGTTTTTGCATTTGAAGCAGTAACTCGAAGTGAGCGTGCTTCATACCAGCTGTCCGAGGTTGTCTGCCCCTTCGTATTGTCTATTTCTATAGGCTGGTTTCCTTGAATACTCTCTTTTAAACTATTTATTGTTAACTGGGAAAGTTTACGAAGATGGTCAGTGTCCACCACATAGTCATTGTATTTGATCTCCATGATCTGCGCAAACATGGTATTACTGCCCGCATTTGGGATTGTTGCCACAAAGTTGTTAACGAAAGTTTCATCATCTGGAATCATATGTTGGGGACGAGGATTATGTGATATAATCCTGTCGGATCTCAGCTTTTTGTTGTATGTGGCTTCATTATATGGCATGGTTTAGGATCACACTTCGCTTTCCGTCCCACATTCCATTTACACAACTCACTTGTTGCACTTATTGGTTGATATCCAAAGCGAATCGTATAATCTTCTAGTGCAAACAAGATACCAGCCACATGGCTACACCTGCTCATGGCAGACGCACAGCATTCGCATGAGGCATCTAAAACTTTAGCCGAATTTGAGTCTTAAGGTTAAAGTTACATTATAGTCTTTATCGGTCTCGTATGAAGCTAATACCTTGCATTTTAAAAAATAGCATCCATGCTTTTGTTGGTCTTCAATGTCCTTGACATGTCCGCTAACAAAATATTGTCGACCTTTATGCATAGCTTTTGATGTGCCAAAGTCAGTTACAGTTTGATCACCATCTGGATCATGCACTACAGCAGTGGCTATGATGTGGTCATATATGGTACCATAGGAAAAAGCACTTGGCACCTTTTTTGACGGAAATTTACTCCACCCTGTAGTTGGCAAAAGTGGAACTTCAGACAACTGATCAGCACATGAAGCTTGTAGAACTTTAGTAACTTTTCTCTGGTGCCAGCTTCCACCATCAATAGACACTACAATTTCTCCATCTTCGCTTGCTTCTATACAGCACAGGCATCTAAAGTTAAATAAACAAGCCAACAGTGAGGCTGATGTCCCCCGCCGAAATAGGAAAATAATTAGAGGACACATATAAAAATCAAATTGCGTATCGCTCTGCTTACCCTGAGCAGAAAATGGTCATTATCAAACTTAGTCAAGGTATTACTGTAATGAAACTATACACCAAGTTTCATCAATCTCACTTAATTAGAACTAAAGTTATCGTGTCCCAAAGCATCAACCAATCAAATTGCTTATCTCTGCTTACCCTAAGCGGAAAATGCTCATCTTCGAACTCCATCAAGGCATTGACCTAATCAACACATACACCAAGTTTGAACATTCTAGCTCAATTAGGAAGAGAGTTATCGTGCCCCAAAGTATCAACCAATCAAATTGCTTATCTCTGCTTACCCTAAGCGGAAAATGCTCATCTTCGAACTCCATCAAGGCATTGACCTAATAAACACATACACCAAGTTTGAACATTCTAGCTCAATTAAAAGTTATCGTGTCCCAAAGCATCAACCAATCAAATTGCTTATCTCTGCTTACCCTAAGCGGAAAATGCTCATCTTCGAACTCCATCAAGGCATTGACCTAATAAACACATACACCAAGTTTGAACATTCTAGCTCAATTAAAAGTTATCGTGTCCCAAAGCATCAACCAATCAAATTGCTTATCTCTGCTTACCCTAAGCGGAAAATGCTCATCTTCGAACTCCATCAAGGCATTGACCTAATAAACACATACACCAAGTTTGAACATTCTAGCTCAATTAAAAGTTATCGTGTCCCAAAGCATCAACCAATCAAATTGCTTATCTCTGCTTACCCTAAGCGGAAAATGCTCATCTTCGAACTCCATCAAGGCATTGACCTAATCAACACATACACCAAGTTTGAACATTCTAGCCCAATTAGGAAGAGAGTTATCGTGTCCCAAAGCATCAACCAATCAAATTGCTTATCTCTGCTTACCCTAAGCGGAAAATGCTCATCTTCGAACTCCATCAAGGCATTGACCTAATAAACACATAATAATAATAATAATAATAATAATAATAACATTTATATAGCGCTATTCCACACTGTGTAGTATGCTCATAGCGCTCAAGTCAATTCTGCAAAGTCTGAACAATATACTGTGTCATCTCATTACATATAGCGACGGAACAGATGTGTCTTCAGTGATGATTTAAAACTTGCTAGGGACGGACACTGTTTTAAGGAAGTTGGGAGTTTATTCCAATGGAAAGCAGCTTGATATGAAAATGTTCTTGCTCCAAAAGTTTTTAAATTGTATGTTGGTAATTGTAGTTGACAAGTGTTACTAGATCGAAGGTTTTTGACTGGTAAATGTTCGTTAACAAGTTCTTGAAGATAAACAGGTGCAGTCTTATAAACAGCTTGATAAGTTAGGCACAACAATTTGAATTCTATACGTTCATTAATACGAAGCCAATGAAGAGAGGATAAAACTGGAGATATGTGGTCACGGACTTTGGTTCTTGAGACTAGTCTGGCTGCTGAGTTTTGTATACGTTGGAGGCGTTTTGTTTGCTCATTGGTAATCCCAGATAGCACACTGTTGCAATAGTCGAGGCGAGAGAGGATAAGACATCGGACGAGGGTAGCTGCAGCATCTGATGTTATAAAATGACGTATTGAGCCAATATTCCGAAGGTGGTAGTGACATGTTTTACACAGAAAACTGATGTGGTTTTCCATAGACAAATTCGTATCCATAATAACACCGAGGTTTTTGACGTATTTTGATGGATTGATGTAAGATTGTTCAATTTTTAAATGGGTTATGTCGCTCTTATGTAGTCTGCGTGTAGGGGCGATCAATAACAGTTCTGTTTTGTCCGAATTTAGTTTAAGCATATTGTTTGTCATCCAGCTTTTTACATCTGTCACACATGTTTCAATTTTTTCACAACAAGATAGTTGACTATTTTGTTCAGGGAGGAAAAAGTCCATGATCTGAGAGTCATCAGCATAAAAGTGGTGATTTAGATCCTTTTTAATGAGAAGATTGCTGAGTGACTTTATGTACATACAGAAAATAATTGGTCCCAATACTGATCCCTGTGGTACACCACATGTAAGATCGACTGTGTTAGAAAAGGAGCTGTTAACCATAACTGCCTGTGTTCTACCTATTAAATATGATGAAAACCAGTTTAACACAAGGCCATTGATACCATACTCGGATTCCAGTCTGTTGAGTATTCTGCTATGATCCAGCGTATCAAAGGCAGCAGATAGATCAAGCAAAACGAGCATAGCGATGGAACCTTGGTCAACTCCACTTCGGATCGTATTGAAAACGTGGTTTAGAGCAGTTTCGGTACTGTGGTTGTTTCTGTAAGCTGACTGGTACTCGTACATTAAACTGTGATTTTGCATATGTTCCAACAGTTGTATTTTGACAACTTTTTCTAAGATTTTGGAGATAAATGGAAGGTTCGAAACAGGGCGATAATTTTTTAATACTTCCGACTCGAGAGATGGTTTCTTAAGTAAGGGCTTGATCAAAGCGTGCTTGAATGGCTGTGGCACAAAACCAGAATTTAAGCTGTTATTAATGATGGCTGTCAGGATAGGTAATAAAACATCCAATATTTTTAGCATAAAGCTGGTTGGAATTGGGTCTAAAACACAAGACGTTGGTTTTGAAGATAAAATAATTTTCTTTAGTTCATCTTCAGTCACTTCCTTGAATGATGTGAATGGTTTACCTTGAAAAGTGTTGACTTGTTGATTTTCATCTGTTTCTGGTATTAGTGCAGATCTGATTTTGTTAATTTTATCAGTAAAATACTCACAAAATTTGTTGGCTACATCAGATTCTTCACCTCGAGGCAGAATGACATCCTGTGATTTCCCCAAAAGTTTGTTGAGAGTTGAGAAAAGAACTCTTGGATTCTGTTGGTTGTTATTAATAATAGTGTTGATGTGATCAGATTTAGCGTTCTTGATCATTAAATTTACGGAATTACGAGCTGAATTTAGTATTTGTCTATCGATTTCAAGTTTTGATTTTCTCCACTTACGTTCTAAACTATGGCGCTTGTTTCTTGCTTCTAAAATATCGGGTGAAAACCAGGAAGTGTTTTTACGTTGACGGATAGTCTTTGTCTTTAATGGTGCATATTTATCAAGAAGAGTTGTAAGAACATCAGTAAGATTATCTAACAGTTGCGAAGAATCACAGACAAATGGTGGTGTTAAGACAGACTGCGATAATTCATGGGTAAAGTCAGTAATATGGATATTTTTCAAGCCACGAAAGGTGCATGTGACTGATGGTGCTACAGGTCTATCAAAAATAACATCAAAGGATACAAGGAGATGATCTGAAATTTGTTTATCTAACACTTCTATGTTTTGAATAAGGGAAGCATCTCTGGTAAGCACCCAGTCAATAATATGACCACTACGATGGGTTGAAGTTGGAACGTGTTGAATATAATCATGACTGTCAAGAATCTTGAGTACTTTCTTTGTTAGGAAATTATCTTGAGAATCAAAATGAATATTGAAGTCTCCGAGTATGATGGTGCTTTCTTTCTTCCTATCTAGAAGGTCACAAAGAGTAGCAAATTCTGTTAGAAAACTGGATTGTGTCAGTTCGTTTTTCTTCGATGGAGGTGGCCTATACAGACACACAAAGCGTAAAGACTTTTTTCCGCAGCTAATTATACATGTCAATAATTCAAAAGATGAAAATTCTGCAGGTATTTTTGAAATATCCAGAACTAAATTCTTTATATGTAAAAGAGCCAATCCGCCACCGGTCCTTTGGAGCCTAGGGACATGGATAAATTTATAGCCATCAGGAATTAACTCTGCAATTTTACTCTGATCGCCATCTTCTCTCAACCAAGTTTCTGTGATAAACAACACATCTAGATTTGATTCCAATATTAATTCAGAAACAGAAATTGTTTTATTTTTAACAGATTGAGCATTCCATAACCCAATCTTAAGAAAGTTTGAACTATTTGTATCTATATTGGTGATAGTAGTAGTAAGGTTATTCTTAAGAGAATTAATGTCATGTTTAACTAAATTTCTTGTGAACACATCAAACTTCTTTTGTTTTCTCTTTCCACCCCTTGTTCCTCTCCTTGTTGGTTTAGTTAGGTTTATTTTAAGATCACATATAGTATTGAACAGGTCTTGATTAAGCCTATTGTATTGGTGAGAAAGATTAATTAACACTTCTTTACTGAGAGTAGTCAGCATGTCACAAGCTGAACATCTGTGGTTGTGGCCAATTAAAGGTTAATAACAGTTCAACTTTCAAAAATATACAAAATACAAAAATGCATATTATCTGCATAAATATCCAAGTTTGAACATTCTAGCTCAATTAGGAAGAGAGTTATTGTGTCTTCGAAAGGCGGGGGACAATTAATAATTAGTGTTTTCTGCTAGACTGAGAATAGTTGAAATAATTCAATTTCATCGTGATTGGTTCTTAAAACTATTCTACACCCGTACTACTTTACTAGTCCGTAGTCAACTAGACAGTACTGTACCAGGTAGTACAAACTACAAACAAT